CAGTTAGGCATTAGGGTTCTGGGATGTGAGAGAGAGAGAGAGCTAGACTAGGCATCAACATTTAGAAATTATTCAAGTGTAGCAGGTAGTTAATGCTATTAGAAAAGAATTTTTGAAATCTCAAAGACTAATTATTTCTTGCTTGGCAGAACTTTAAAAATTTGTATTCTGCTTTCCCCCAGTACAGACAAGTGCTGCATTGGAAATCTTTGTACAAGCCTCTCTCTTTCCAGTGTGATATACAGAAGAGGGGTTGTGGGGTCAACAGGCACGTGCTTTCAACATTTGGATAGTTCCTGCCAAATTGCCCTCTAAAAAAAAAAAAATGATACTCATTTACACTTCCACTGTGAAAGGGCACAAGATTACTCATTTACCCACTCCTCCCAGTACTGAATGTTTGCCAACCTGATGGGCTAATAATGCCGTGGCATTGTGTTAGTGGGTAGACCAAGGATTTTTCATGTTTATTGGACATTTGCATTTCTTGGCCTGTGAATTCTGTGTTCCTGTTCTTTGGCCTTTTTACTCTTGTGTTTGATTTTTTCTTACTCATTTTTGGAAGGCGTCATATCTTTGCCTTCTCCACAGGCTCTTTCCTCATTTCTTGTTTTATTTTTCTCTGTAACTGCCATCTGACATACTATTTATTTTTTTATTGCCTGTCCCTCCCCGCACCATTAGAATGTAAGAATCAGAAGGCAGGGATTTTGTCATTTGTTCATTCTAGTGTTTCCAGCACCTAGGACAGTGTCTGGCTTATAGTAGGCACTCCCTAATTAATTGTTCAATGAATGAATTAATGGAGTGAATAATAACCTTTTTTAAAAATAAATTTATTTATTTATTATTTATTTATTTTTGGCTGCGTTGGGTCTTCGTTGCTGCATGTGGACTTTCTTTATTTGCGGCATGTGGACTTTCTTTATTTGCGGCGAGCGGGGGCTACTCTTCGTTTTGGTGCACGGGCTTCTCACTTCGGTGGCTTCTCTTGTTGCGGAGCACGGGCTCTAGGCATGCAGGCCTCAGTAGTTGTGGCACACGGGCTCTAGAGCACAGACTCAAATAGTTGTGGCGCACGGGCTTAGTTGCTCCATGGCATGTGGGATCTTCCCGGGCCAGGGCTTGAACCCGTGTTCTCTGCACTGGCAGGCAGATTCTTAACCACTGTATCACCAGGGAAGCCCGAATAATAACCTTTTATCTGTTATTTGTTTTTCACATATTTTTTCCATGTTTGCACTTGCCCTTTTCCTTTGTTTATGGTGAGTTTGATCATATAGAAAGTTTTCATTTATATGATGTCAAGTCTATCACTTTTTTCACAGGAGGCTTTTGAAGTCTACATTTTGCCTACCTCCCCTCCCCCTTTTTAAACACTGTGTTCCCTTCATTCACTTCTCCCACCTCCCACTTCCCTCCTCTGGCCAGCCATCAGTCTGCTGTCTGTATCTATGAGCTTGTGTTTTTGGGGTTTTTTTTTTTAAGATTCCACATATAAGAGAGGTCATATGGTCTTTGTGTTTCTATGTCTGACATAATTCACTTAGCACATTGCTCTTGAGGTCCATCCATATTGTCACAAATGGCAAGATTTTATTCTTTTTTATGGCTGAATAATATTCCATTATATATACCAACCATAATTTCTTTATTCATCCATTGATGAACACTTCAGTTGTTTCTTTACCTTGGCTATTGTAAACAGTGCTGCAGTGAACATGGGTGTGCATATATCTTTTCAAGTTAGTGTTTTTGTTTTCTTCAGATAAATACCTAAAAGTGGAATTGCCAGATCATATAGTTCTATTTTTAATTTTTTGAAGAACCCGCATACTGTCTTCCATAGTGGCTGCATCATTTTACCTTCCCACCAACAATGTACCAGGGTTCCCTTTTCTCCACATTCTTGTTATTTCTTGTCTTTTTGATAATAGCTATTCTAAAAAGTGTGAGGTGCTATCTCATTGTGGTATGCTTTGCATTTCCCTGATGATTAGTGATGTTGAGCATCTTTTCATGTACCTATTGGCCATCTGTATTTCTTCTTTGGAAAAATATCTGTTCAGATCTTCTGCCCAATTTTTAATCAGATTTTTTTTTGTCTTTTTTTTTCTTGCTGTTGAGTTGTATATACAGAATTAGATCATAGAATAAAAGAAAGTCAGTGAAAAGCTGAGAAGGAAGGAATGAGCAGGCACATAAAAGAAGTAGGAATGAGTAGTATCCTAGAAGTCAAAGGAAAAGAGTTTTAAAAGGGAGGCAGTAAACTTTTGATTAAATATGGTGAATGGATCCATTCATAGTAAAATATTATAAAAGACATAGGACACAAGGACAGAGAGAATGAGAGTAGAGACTAATTTTAGAAATATAAAATGATCAGTTGAGTGGTAAGAGATTTTGGAGGATGGGAAGTAAATTCTTAATGAATAAGAGGTTTTCTTTTGAGATAATGAAAATGTTTTGGAGCTAGATGAAGTTGGTGCTTCCATATTATTGTGAATATACTAAGTGCCACTGAATTGTTCACTTTAAAATTAATACACTATGTGAATTTAACCTCAGTTTTTAAAAACAAGACCGTATACTGAGGTATATGAAATTTAAGAACACCAGGGATAAAGAAAAGATTCTGAAAATTGCCGGAGAGAAACAAAGGATCTCATACTGTATTATTAATCCTAATAAACTAAATTATAATATAGCAACAAATAAATCCTGAAATCATAATGGCTTAATTCAACAAGCATTACTTTTCATTTGTGCTACATGTCCATGGTGAGGGAGAACACTCTGTTCTGTATTGTTACTCAGGAATCTAGGCTAATCTGAACACATAGTTTCTAGAGTGGGGGGAGAACAAGTGTAGAAAAATCCTACTGTACTCTCTTTTAAATGCTTCGGCCCTGGCTAGAACCAGTCACATGGACCTACCTGAGTGCTAGGGACTTGGAATGTGCAGTCTTCTCAGGTGCCCAGAAAGGACAGGCAAACCAGGCATTGCTGAGCACAAGAAGCTTCTACAGTGCATAATGAGGACCAAGAGTCAGACTGGCATTAGACTCACCTTCCAGTATGAAGCTAGATGATAGTGGAACAAGGCTTTAAAAATTCTGAAGGGGTCGTCCCTGGTGGCGCAGTGGTTGAGAGTCCGCCTGCCGATGCAGGGGACACGGGTTCGTGCCCCGGTCCAGGAAGATCCCACATGCTGCGGAGCGGCTGGGCCCGTGAGCCATGGCCGCTGAGCCTGCGCGTCTGGAGCCTGTGCTCCGCAGTGGGAGAGGCCATAATGGTGAGAGGCCCGCGTACCGCAAAAAAAAAAAAAAAAATTCTGAAGGAAAATTATGTCCTGTAGAATTATGTATCTGTCAAACCAGTCAAATGTGAGGGTAGAGCACTAACATTTTCAGAGGAACAAAGTTACAAAACATTTACCTTCTACTCACCCCTTATCAGGAAATTATCAGAGGATATATTACACGAAAACAAGGGAATAAAACAGGAAGAGGAAGATTTGGAATCTGGGGGCAGGGGATCTTGTACGGGATACAGCTCAGACTGGAGCAGGAAGATTAAAGGGCCGGGAGAAGGGAGAGACAGGGATATATAATGTGATAGACTGCCTGATATGTTTGAGGATATTGAGAGTTTTATGGTTCTATAAGAACTTGGGCTGTGTTTGAGATATATTTTTAAAAATTAGCAAAACAAAAGAGGGCACTGTAAGTTCCCAAAATAGTAAATGTTGTACAAGGAAAGAAATATAATTATCGCATATTATATGACTCAGGTATAGATAATAGTCATAATATAAATACTGATTACAGATGGACAAAATATCTCTTATGAGGATGATAATAAGATATGAGAGCATAATCATCTGTAAGAGATTGTCAGTAAATAATGCCTAAAATGGAAAAATTAAGAAATAGCAATGTATTATTTAGAAATATAAATGTAAATATCAGAAGAAATGGCTAAAAGTTAAAAGTTGTTTGTAGGAAGTGATTTTTCAAGAATGGAATGGAGTAGGACAGAGGATGGGTAAGACATCTTATGTTACATATCTTGTAGGGTTAATGCCTTTTAAAATTATCTAAATTTATTACTTCAACTTCCTATTTTTCAAGGAGGCAGGAGCAAACAGTGCCACATGCTGCAAAGAGCCTACATTAAATGAAAATTAAGAAAAGGAACTATGGGCTTTGGCAGATAGGTTACAGTGATCTTGGGGCCGTTTCAGTGGTTGAGTAATGGGTGTAGATCAAGTTGCAGTGGGTTGAGGGATAGAAGAATAGAGAAATTATTTCACATACTTCAAAGTGTAAAATGAAGGAGACCAACTGACATATAGGATCAGATAATGGTGTATACAGAATAGATATATTATCCTCCTGACTAAAAGGCAGAATATGAAAATCCGACCTTAAATAAATTATAAAGAAACTACATTATACATTTGGAGAGAATCCCCCATAAAACAACAGCAAAATTTTTTTTTAATTTCTTTCAGTAATTAGCTCTTCTAAAATTATTCATTTTACTGAAACATGTCATATAGGCATCTCTGCTAAATTGTGTCAATAGGGAAAAGTAAACTGTTGGTATAATATAATTTGTATTACTTCTTTATTTAAGTGAAATACCTTCTCAGAATTCCTTTATTTCAACTTAATATCCTTGATTTAAAGAGGGTTGCTTTGTTTGTTCTGAGTCCTTTTTTAAAAGTTCAAGGCTTTTAAAATAAGGTGAAAGCTAATGAAAACTGAAAGCAGTTCAGTTCCCTTACCCTCGGATTTCTGCATTAACCTGATTCATCTAGTATCATTCCAGTTCTCTTAGTTCCCCTTCCAAGTTCAAGTTTTTGTTCAAGCCTAGTCATGGGAGTAATGTTATCATCTTTAAATTTGGTCATGGAATGTGTTACACTGCCCAGCTCAGGGAAGTGCTTGCTACTCAGTTTGGGCTTCGATAGTAACGTTTATTTTCTTTGGCAGAGAAGCTGATCGTCGAGGGGCATCTAACCAAAGTGGTAGAAGAAACAAAGCTTTCAAAAGGTTCGTTTTCTGTGGGTTTCTGTGGCATTTTTCTGTGGGTTTTAACAACTCTTTTGGATAATGAAGGTTAGTATACATTTCCAAGGTCATAGTACTTTAACCATCAGTTTGTGTCTTACAGCTCACAAAATGGCAATCTAGTAACAATATCAGATAATAATATAAAATAGTTGGAGTTCTGTTTTAAGAAGGATATGTTCATCAGAAAGTTTCTTTTTAAATGGATATATATGTGTGGGGGTTTTTTTAATGCTTGGAATAGGTTTCGTTAGGTATTAAAGATTTGTTGCAATCTCTCTGTCTCACTTCCAGCATTATTTTCAGCTTTGATCTCAAAATTTTAATCAAACGCAATGTAAATCTTTTTTTGAAACAGTTGAAAAATGCTTGCAGTTCCATTTTGTTGGTTATCATACCTTTAATAGTCCTTATATTTAATATTATCTTAATTGTTAGCATTTCAATTTGACTTAAACAAAAGTGATTATGTAGAACCTTATATTTTTTAATGAACAGTCCTGTAATTGCTTGAAGTAATTTATTCTGTTGATTCCTTTCTGTTACAATTGTCAGGCTTAGAGAAGAAAAGTGAGTTTTAAAGCATCATATTGTCAAGTCACTTTTATGTATAGGGAAATTGTGCAAATAAATTTAGTGGGATATGCTCGTTATTCATTCTAGGACTTTCATCAGAAGAACATACCGGTATAAAATTTAAAACTAAATTGACAATCATTTTGGTTAGCTAAAACAATGAGTGATAAAAGTTTGCAATACTCCATTTCATTACATTTTGTTTAATGAAAGTAACTGGATCCATTTGGCTTTTAAAAATATTTAAAAGGATAGTGTTATTTCATATATCTGGTGGCTTCCATTTGGAATTTTGTGCATGGCAGATGCCATATTTGGAGAAAGAATGCATAAAATATGCATCACTAATATTGTTCTGGCAAACAGGCATTGAGTTTCAGAACAGTGAACTATTTTTAGTACATATGGCAATTTATTTCATCTTATTAAAGTGAGATGAGAACAGATTTTAAAATAGCTTTTACTTCACCACCTAAATACCTATTCAGATTAGTTGGTTAAATAACCAATACTTTGATGTAGAAGTAGAGCCTTAGAAAAAAATCAGTGCTTCTTATAATTAAAGAAAAGTATCTTGCTACCCAAGTGCTTCTATTTAATGCATTCTGAACTAGAATATATTTCCTTGAAATTATGTGATGTCATAATTGAAAAAGAAAATCTTATGATTTCCTTTTGAAATCTGGCTATAAAATATGTATTTAAAGTTTTAAAGAACATGCTTTTTGACCTAGCAATTTCAGTTCTAAGTTTTTATCTTAAGGAACAAATTGGACAAATGTGCAAGCGCATTTGTTTGTGTTGTTTTAAAGGCAAAAAAAGGAAAACATAAGTGTCCAATAATAAGGGCATTTATTAAATAAATTATGGCAAGTAAGTCCATGCAAGTGAATAGAATACATCCTTTAAGAATGATAATACAGGGACTTACCTCGTGGCGTAGCAGTTGGGAATCTGCCTGCCATTGCGGGGGACACAGGTTCGAACCCTGGTCCGGGAAGATTCCCACATGCTGCGAAGCAACTAAGCCAGTGCACCACAACTACTGAAGCCTGCATGCTCTAGGCCCCACATGCCAAAACTACTGAGCCCACGTGCTGCAGCTACTAAAGCCCGTGCGCCTAGAGCCCGTGCTTCACAACAAGAGAAGCCATCATAATGAGAAGCCCACACACTGCAAGGAAGAGTAGCCCCCGCTTGCCACAACTAGAGAAAGCCTGCACACAGCAACGAAGACCCAACACAGCCCCCCAAAAAAGAATGATAATACAGGGAATTCCCTGGTCTCAGAGCTTTCACTGACCGGGCCCGGGTTCAATCCCTGGGCAGGGAACTAAGATCCTGCAAGCTGTACGGCGTGGCCAAAAAAAGAATGATAAAACAGATGTTTTATATACCCAGAGATATTTCTATCAGCAGTCAACATTTTACTGGTACTTCCCACAGATAGCATGCAGAGGTACACTAATCCTTGTGACAAACTAGTTGGCTGAAATAAATTACATTTTAAATGCTTTATATCTGGCTATAAAGTGTTTTCTTTTGGATTTGGCTGGATTGTTTTATTTTTTAAATGCTTTCATTGCTGATGTTTTTAATGGAATGATATTTAAAACTGATTTTAAATATCAGTTGTTGGAAATTGACAATTACCAGCTGTTACAAGTCTTGGTAGTATTTCCTTCAGGTATTGCACCTAATGAAAAATGTAATCATAAGTTGCATATGCCTTCTATTTAAGTCCTAACTCAACTTGCAGTTTACAGCAGATTTCAAGGTGGAAGTAGAAAGAATACAGAGTAGGTCAAACAGTAGCTTTTAATTCCAGGTTCTACTAGTAACTATGTGCCCTCAGGCAACTTACTTTAGCTCTTTAAACCTCAGTTTCCTCATTTGTACAATGGGATTGACAGTATATAACTTAGAGGATTTTGTGGGAATTTAATGAAATATTGCTTATAAAGCAGGAAGCACTGGTCCATTGTCCAACAAATGTTAGTTCTCCGTTTTTTTTCCCCTTGATCCTTGACCTTGCTTTCTTTGCAAATAATGGTTCCAGTGGTGTAGGAAGTGGTCTGTGTTTGTCTTGCCCATCCATCGTTATGTCTGCTTGAAGATATAGTGAAAATATTCACCTTATTGTAGACTTGCCAGTTTGGGAACAGTTTTGGTATTGATGTTGGTAGCCATTCCTCCATTTACTTCTATATACTATTGGTATGCATTTTAATGATTAAAAACTGCCCAGAAAATCAGCTAGTAAAGACTTTTAATACTGGAAAGTTGGGTGCTGCTTTGTAGCTGAAAAGTAGATGTTTTGAACAGTAGAGACTCTACCACTCATTTGTTGTGTCCTGTGTTTCATCTTGAATAGATTATGTTTGCCTCCATATAATAACTCTAGTATAGGACACAACAATGGTGAACCATGACTTGACTTGCTAAAAGCTTGCCTTCTTACTCAAAGTAAAATTGTGTCTCTAATGGTCCTCTTTTTAGCACACCTACTATGTATTGTGCACTGTTCTATGCAATGGGATTATAGCAGTTAACAAAACAAAAATTCTTGCACTCATGGAGCTTATATTCTAGTAAGATCTTAATGGAAGATAGTCCCACCTCTAAGGCAATTTTACCTTCCTGGCTACTACTCCAAATAGGAAATAAAAGTTCCTTCTAAGCCAGAAGAACACTTTTGAAAATACATTCCTCTTGGTTTACCTCTATATCTTGATCATAAAATTGCCAAGAATATTAAAATTAGGAAAGAGTCATTTTTGTCTTTTCCTTTTTGTTCCCACAGTGGTTTCTTTTCTTTCTATATATAGACAAGATGTGTTAGCCTGCCTTATTTGAGACTGTAACTTAGTGATCAAAACTAGTACATTCAGAAATGTCTGACTATAGTACACTATGAATGCACCAGAGGTCACAGATTAGATTCCCATGGACCTCAGTAATCAGTGACTTCACTTCTAATCCAAACTCACTGTCTCTCCCCAGTTGGCCTTTGACTAGAAATGGCAGTGAGAAAGGAAGCAAAAGGCTTCTTGTAATCCATCACTCATTTCACAAGTGAAGCCATAAGTTCTAATGTATTCTTATATGGAATAGCCATAACAAGTTATATTGTAATATTAATTATTTTGACAGTATTGGTTTTAGATATGTTTCTGACTACTTCTAAAATGAAAAATATCTCTTGATTTAGTTGATTATGAAAACAATATATGTTCGCTATAATTTTTCAAACAATGTATAAAACAATGTGAAGTTAGAAAATAAATGTTCATCCCTACCTTCAGAAATGACCATGGTATCTCTGTTGTAGATCCTTCTAGACTTGAATGAATATATACAACAAAAAATTCATAGCTAAGTGTATAGCTGTTTTCATTCTAAAGGGGGTCATCTTATACATGGCTTAACAGACTTTACTTTTACTTAATAGTAGTGAATATATCTTGGACATTTTCCATTCCATAATGAACAATGCTGCAATGAATGTCCTTATGTATATATACTATATGTTGCCTATTATTTCCTTTGGAAAAGTACTAGAAGTGGATGTGCACATTTAAATTTTTGATACAGATTACCCCAAACAGTATAGTCAAGTGCATAACATTATAAAAAGTAATTATATGTTCAGTGAATTTATAATCTCACTAAGGAAACAAGATATATGTATACACAGAGAATGATATAAAATAGAACATGATTAATTATAAAACCCTATGTCCCAGAGAAGATAAATAAAAAGGAGCAACATGCTGGAGAAATGAAGACTTCCTTAGAGGTGATGGAGCTTAAGTTATATCTTAATATAGCTTGAATAGGCCAAGTAGTGAGAATGGTCCTTGAGTTTAAGGAAATATCAACTCAAAGCAAAGAATTTCAGGCCTGTGGTTCAGGTACAGTAATACTTTCTTTAGATATAAAAGGCTGTTAATTTTCCTGTTTTAAATGTTACTTTTATAAAAGACAATGGTGATTTTTTTAAAAAGAGTATTTATCATGAGTATAAATATTACTGAGGCAACCTAACGTGTTTTTATATAATAGAATCCTTTTCTTTCATCATCTTCATACAGTATCCACATTGTCCTGGGAATTTTGCTATATTTGTTGCAGGTCTCTGAATACTTTAGCAAAGCTTGCTTCATTTTTGTTTCCAGTTGGCCAGTGGACAGCCTTGAACAAAAGCCCCAGCCCTCCTCTACACAGCAATCATGATCCACAATATAATTTAATATGAGCTACGTGTAATAACCAGCATTCCATTTTGGACTAGAGTGGGGAAGAAGTAAGAGAGTCAGTGATCTCAGTTAATTTTAAAAGTATTTTGCATACCAGTAGATTTAGAGCACTCATAGCCTGAAGCAGTTTATAAACTATTTAATTGTAAAGAGATTCTACTTTTATTTATTTATTTATTTATTTCTTCTTAGAGAACCAGGCAAGAGCAAAGGAATCTGATTTATCAGATACCCTGAGTCCAAGCAAGGAGAAAAGTAGTGACGACACTACAGGTGAGTTTTAACCTAATATTTATAAATCTGTAGATGTTATTGTTACCTACCAAGCAGTTTAGGTATGCAGGTTAGTGTGGGTGGAGATCTCAAAGTTTGTGTTTGGGGGAAAAAGCAATACTTCTATTTATCAAGTCACTCGCTTGAATCTTGGATAAATTTAAAAACTACTTTCAATGATCCAAATACAATAGCTGTATAAATTTCAGTTTTTTATTTTGGTAATGATAGCTTGCTAATAGAGTTTACTGTTTATAATTATCTTTTTTCCCCCCTCTGTAGACGCCCAAATGGATGAGCAAGACCTAAATGAACCCTTTGCTAAAGTGTCCCTATTAAAAGGTATTTTAACTTGTTTTTAAGACATTTTAAACCAGGGCATCAGATTCACCCTTTGCCACAAAATCATGTATTCTATGATGTTTTAAGCTTTAGTTAAAACTAAGTTTTAACTTAAAAGATTAAGATAGGTTCTCTAAAGTATCAGGAACTAAAATTTAAAATGTTGATGTTGGTGCCAGTGCTTTAAAGGAAAACATTTAAATTGTAAAATAGTTTGTATCAATCAAAGTTATATGAAGGCAAGGCAATAAGTGGTAGATTGTGAAATGCAGCTGTGGTTTTTTTGTGTTTACCTTGATGTCTCTGATAGAAACTCATTACCACTTTTAATGTAAACTAAAAACAGATTAAAAATATTAACTTTCTTGAAAGAACTACCTGTTTGCTCTGTTGTCATATGGTAGCAGTTGTAAATTTCCTCATTTTCTGGCCCTCCTCATTCTCCAGTAAATATCCCTAGGTTCTTAGGACTCTTCTAGAAATTTTGGGTGGGGCTAAGATGAGCAGTGCATATAATAAATTCTTTCACTTGTGTTACTTCTAAATAAGAAGTACATTTATTTGATATTTACTTGTTTAGAATGAAATGGGTAGGAATTAAATTAGCATTTATAAAAGTGTTTTTAAAATAAAGTGCCTGGGGGTGGCTTATTGATAAATCTGTGATTGTCAGCATTTAATCTCCTTTTTTTTTTGCAATCATGACAACAGCTGCTACACCAAAGATTCACTTTTAAGTGTTTTGATCCATTTCTCATTTAGAGAAAATTATTATTATTTTTTTACATCTTTGTTGGAGTATAATTGCTTTACAATGTTGTGTTAGTTTCTGCTGTACAACAAAGTGAATCAGCTATATATGTATACATATACCCCCATATCCCCTCCCTCTCCCACCCAGCATTTAGTCTCTTTTATAATTGCCTTATTGTACACAAGAAAAGTTGACATATAAGTTCAGCTCACTAGGTTATGCATTTTAGTAGCAGTGGACCAATACCAGGCAACTCTCAGAAATTAGCAGCAAAAGCAGCCTGTGGAGGTTTCTTTGTATAGAAATGCCTTTGCTTCTGGCTGGGCTATTAAGGGATCTCCCAGTACAGACTCTAAATTTTGGATTATATAAGGAAGCCTTAGTTTCACCCTGCATGATCCTGCTGCTCTCCTAGTTGTATAATGATTGGGATTGGGGTTGGTTAACCAAGAGATTACCCAGATTCTCTCGAATTCCTTAGTCTGGGCATCATGGCCTTCTCTTTTCTCCCCCATGGATACTGAAGGTGACATGGCTCTTTGAGCCACCTTTGACTGAATTCCCGTACCAAGGGAAGCCCTGAGGATTACTGGCCCGGGCAACCAACTGCCAACCTGTTTTTAAGTATGATAGTAGTTTCCAGTATTCTTACCGATCCATACTCTTCTCAGGTGACCTTTGGTGTTTACGAGACATGCCTTTTTTTAGTGTGGTAATAATAAATCTAAGTTAATGTGTGTACAGGCCAGAAATCTCATCTTGGAGCATTTCTGATTCTTCTCAGAAACGTAAGAGCATTAATGCATAGAATGTTGTTGCTGATCCTGAAAAAGTTTGGGAACCTTGGGCCTTTGGGGGACACACAGAAATAAGAAGGGAGGTGAATGAGAAAGGGACACCCGTTGTAAAGAAGTAGCTGTTTATGATATTTTTTTAATGTAGAAATCTCCCAGAAAGCTTTTCAGCAGCCAAATCCAGATTGATTTATAAGTAGTAATTTTTTTTTTTTTTTTAGAAAAAAACAACATCAGCAGGAGTTTAATAACATGTATACCTCCTGTATACAAGGGAGATACCCAGGAAAACTGAGTAACTCCTGTAAATAGTGTTTATGATTGTGTTAATTATATTCAAATGTTATTAGTGCTTTTGTAATTTTATGTGTCCGTCTGCTTTAGATTTTACTTTTATCCTCTTCCCTACCACAATGCCAAATATTTGGAAAAACTCAGATGTTTGTTGAATGAATTAATAATAGACCTCTTACATCAAAGTTATAAAACCACAAGAGCATTAGGAAAGTGACAGGCTCTAACCAAGAGGCTAAGAGCCAAAGATCTCTGAGTTCTGACCCAGCTCTGCCATTTATTTGTGGGGTTTTTTTCTTTAATTTACTTATTTATTTATTTGGTTGTGCTGGGTCTCAGTTGTGGCATGTGAACTCTCAATTGCAGCATGCATGTGGGATCTGGTTCTTTGAGCAGGATTCGAACCCGGGCCCCCTGCATTGGGAGCGTGGAATCTTAACTATTGCACCACCAGGGAAGCCCCTGGGCTTCCTTGGGCAAATTGCATAACCCCTCTGTGCTTCAGTGTTTTTTCGTTTGTTGGTTTGGGGAAAACCAACTTCATAGGATTATTGTGACGATTAAACGAAACAGTACAAGTAGATCACTTAATATGTTGTTGGGAACATAACATGTTAAGCCCCATAATGAAGATACTGATAATAATAATAATGATGGTGATTAACAAAGGCAAACCTATCTGGGGACTTCCCTGGTGGTGCAGTCGTTAAGAATCCACCTGCCAATGCAGGGGACACGGGTTCAATCCCTGGTCCAGGAAGATCCCACATGCTGTGGAGCAACTAAGCCCGTGCACCGCAACTACTGAGCCTGCCCTCTAGAGCCCATGAGCCACAACTGCTGAGCCTGTGTGCCACAACTGCTGAAGCCTGCATGCCCAGAGCCCGTGCTCCACAACAAGAGAAGCCACCGCAATGAGAAGCCTGCCCATTGCAACAAAGAGTAGCCCCTGCTCACCGCAACTAGAGAAAGCCTGTGTGCAGCAACGAAGACCCAGTGCAGCCAAAAAAATAAATTAAATAAATAAATTTATTTTTTAAAAAAAGGCAAACCTATCAGTTAAAGGGTAACTTTTCATTAATTAAATAAGATTGTGGGATTTAAAAAAATATTTCCTACTTTATCTTTAGGGAAAAGCAGTTGTTGGTTGTGGATCTTTTCCAGTTAATAATGTATTAATTTGTTTACTTTGCCAGATGTCAGGGCAAAATTTTTTTTAATCCTTGAGTACAACGGGAAGGCTAAAGTATATCTGTAAAAGTGCCCATGATATAGGCTAGAGAATCAGACTCAAGGAAGAGGGTATAAAAGTGGAAGTTGTAGGAGATATAGACTGGAAAACACAAGGTGTATGTGGAAGGAGGGTGGGTGTACGAATGCTACTGGTAATTGCTTGGAGTGCCATTGATGAAAATGGATTAGTTTCCCTAACCTTGCTTTCGGTTAAGGTGACAAAAACAGAACCCAAAAACTTTCCTTACATTTCTGTATGATTGCCAACTTTTGTTTAATGAAGTGGTATTTTTATCAACACCTCTTGAAAGATTTTGCAGCTTGATTTTAAGAATAGAATTGTTGGGCTTCCCTGGTGCCGCAGTGGTTCAGAGTCCGCCTGCCGATGCAGGGGATACGGGTTCGTGCCCCGGTCTGGGACGATCCCACATGCCGTGGAGCGGCTGGGCCCGTAAACCATGGCTGCTGAGCCTGCGCGTCCGGAGCCTGTGCTCCGCAACGGGACAGGCCACAACAGTGAGAGGCCCGCGTACCGCAAAAAAAAAAAAAAATAATAACTAGGGACATAGTCTAAATGATGTGGTGGAAAGACTGTGATGTTTTTAGTTTGGCACATGTTGAAGAGGAAGGTTTTCCATAGGTTCTGGTTTGCCTGAAACCATTTTTTTTTTTTTTTTCCTGAAACCATTTATACCCGTTGTCCCAGCATAATTATTAAAAGTTCTTCCTTTCACATTCAGAAGTTCTGTATTGTCACCCTCGGAACCAGAAATGCAGTTGGAAGTGTGATACAGAAACTAGGACTGGAAAGCAATTTTCATTTAATTCTGTGACATTTATTGGCCCAGGAGATACAGAGATACAGAGATAGGCTACAGTCCTATGGAGTAAGGAGACATGTTGATAGTGTAATAAGTGTTTTAATAGGTGTGGTGAAAACTTTGGAGAGCAGGGCTAATTTCCTGGCTAGGAGCAGGGGAGGGGTGGAGCAGTAGTCAGAATGAGCTTCCCAAATGTGTTGGTTAAAGATAAGTCAGGGTGCACCAAGAGGGAAAAGGGAGCCATGCCTTTCCTTAAAATAGTACTGACATTTACAAATAGGATTAATGTTTAATGTAGGAATAACATTTACCAGTAGGAAAGTGTGGTGCAACACAGGCTGTGTGGGGCAGATGTGGAGAAAGATAAGACTGGGTCAGAAAGAAGTCAGTAACAGTGTTTGGGAATTCTCTGCATAGGGATGGACTGTGATAGCAGGGGGGATTTATAGAGAAAGAGAAGAACAATGGGGAGGACAAAGGAGCCAACAAAAGATCCAGTTGTCAAGAAGGAACCCAGCTGGTCAGAAGGAATGGCAAAGGGGTGAGAGTCAACAGTAAGAGGCTGCTGACAAAGTCAAATTCATAGGCTACCACCTAGGACTATCTCACATGACTACACATATCCAGCAAGAAAGTGGTCTTCCTCCACTGTGAAGGTTCTCACCAACCAAGCCTGCAACTAAACTACCAGACTTTCCAAAGGAATGGGTGATAGTAGTAGAAAGAGGATGGCACCCACCTGCCCAGCTGCTTCTGCTAGGTCACTTCTGTCAGTTGCTGAGGTAACAGATGTTATAGCTACATTAGCCTTCAACAAACATGCACATGCAAAATAGAACTCAGGCAGAAATGTTTTGATTTGGCCCTTTACCACGTGGTTCAGGGTATCTCACCCACATTTAAAGCAAAGGTCAGATTTTAAGTTAAATCTCCAGTCACTCTTCTGAAGAAATAGTGACAACAGATTTAATTTAGAGTATCACGTATTCTGTGTGCCACGGCTGGTTGTTTGGTGGGTTATTGTGTGGTGTAGACCTTTTTATAGGATTTAGCCTTAGTCTGAGAAAAGCTGGTTCCTGGCCCAGACTATACACCAGGCACTTC